TGCATCTGGGCCTGGTGTCTTGTGATTTTGCTTGTGATGGCATGCCAGCCTTCCTCAAAAGATGGAGGATCAGCAAGGTGTTCCTGCAACAATGCAGCCTCTGGCGGAACACAAATGAGAGTATCAATTCAGAACAAATTGCTTAGAGCAGGGCAGTGACAACCCAAAGCTGGAGTTCCTTTACTATTAAGGCACGCCACACCAGCCAAAACAGAGAGGACTTCAGTTTTACTCCACTGGCTAACCAGAACTTATACAAACAATTCCCTCAGATACTCCAGTTCCTTTGTATCACCACCAGCACCACTCCTTATGGGGACGAATGGTTATGAAAACTAATATCCCAGTAAAAGAAAAAAGGTTCTCCCTATCCCAAAAGGACCAAGCCCCAGACCCAAGTCAATATACAAGTCAGATCTTACCCACAGATCACGCTGTTGCCAATCTTTTAAAATCTAAAGGTTTATTCATAAAAAGAAAGAAATATAGATGAGAGCTAAAATTGGTTACATGGAATCAATTACATACAGTAATGGCATGGTTTAGGCTTGTAGCAGTGATGGAATAAACTGCAGGTTCAAATCAAGTTGCTAGAGTACATTCACAGCTTGAATAGGTCATTCAGTCCTTTGTTCAGAGCTTCAATTTGTAGCAAAGTTCCTCCAGAAGTAAGAAGCAGGATTGAAGACAAAATGGAGACGATGCAGCTGCCTTTTATAGTCCTTTTGCCATGTGGCTTGTGCTTCTTTGTTCCAAACACAAGCTACCCAGCACGGAAAAACCTTAGAGTTCTTTCCATAGGCATGTCCCTTGCTGAGTCACAAGGTGTATCTGCCTTCTCTCAATGGGTCACTTGTATAGCTGACGGTCCTTAATGGGTGCTGATGCCAAATTGTCTGGTGTGTTACCCAGAAGCACAGCACAAGTTTGAAATACAGACAGTATAGAGCCAATACTTATCACTTTAAATACAAAATGATACATGCATTCAGATAGCATAATTATAAGCTTGTCATAGACACCTTACTTGACCTCCTTTGTAAAATATTTGGTGTCACTATAGAGCCTTGGTTGCAACAATGATCCATACAGTCACAGTTCCATTGTTGAGCATCATGGAATGATTTCAATGGTGTCTTCAGAGACTGTGGATTTGCGGTTTAGTACGCTCTCAAAGTTCTCCTTCCAGCATTGTTTAATGGCCCCACTGTCCTTGAGGAGGGTGGAGCCATCCTGGGAACATAAGAGGGTGGGGTTTTGGAGCTTGGCCCATATATAGCTTTTGTTGCTTGAAAGAAGCTTCTCATATCATCTTGGTCTATGAAATCCTGGATTCCTCAAGGAATCAATTCTGAAGCACTTAGACGAGAGGAAAGTGATCAAGAACAGTGAGCATGGATTCACGAAGGGAAAGTCATGCCTGACTAATCTAATTGCCTTCTATGATGAGATAACTGGTTCTGTGGATGAAGGGAAAGCAGTGGACGTGTTATTCCTGGACTCTAGCAAAGCTTTTGTCATGGTCTCCCACAGTATTCTTGTCAGCAAGTTAAAGAAGTATGGGCTGGATGAATGCACTACAAGGTGGGTAGAAAGTTGGCTAGATCGTTGGGCTCAACGGGTAGTGATCAATGGCTCCATGTCTAGTTGGCAGCCGGTATCTAGCGGAGTGCCCCAAGGGTCAGTCCTGGGGCCGGTTTTGTTCAATATCTTCATTAATGATCTGGAAGATGGTGTGGAGTGCACCCTCAGCAAGTTTGTGGATAACACTAAACTGGGAGGAGTGGTAGATACGCTGGAGGGTAGGGATAGGATACAGAGGGACCTAGACAAATTGGAGGATTGGGCCAAAAGAAATCTGATGAGGTTCAACAAGGACAAGTGCAGTCCTGCACTTAGGACGGAAGAATCCAATGCACCGCTACAGACTAGGGACCAAATGGCTAGGCAGCAGTTCTGCAGAGAAGGACCTAGGGGTTACAGTGGATGAGAAGCTGGATATGAGTCAACAGTGTGCCCTTGTTGCCAAGAAGGCCAATGGCATTTTGGGATGTATAAGTAGGGGCATTGCCAGCAGCTCGAGGGACATGATCGTTCCCCTCTATTCGACACTGGTGAGGCCTCATCTGGAGTAGTGTGTCCAGTTTTGGGCCCCACACTACAAGAAGGATGTGGAAAAATTGGAGAGAGTCCAGCGAAGGGCAACAAAAATTATTAGGGGTCTGGAACACATGACTTATGAGGAGAGGCTGAGGGAACTGGGATTGTTTAGTCTACAGAAGAGAAGAATGAGGGGGGATTTGATAGCTGCTTTTAACTACCTGAAAGGTGGATCCAAAGAGGATGGATCTAGACTATTCTCAGTGATAGCAGATGACAGGACAAGGAGTAATGGTCTCAAGTTGCAGTGGGGGAGGTTTAGATTGGATATTAGGAAAAACTTTTTCACTAAGAGGGTGGTGAAACACTGGAATGCGTTACCTAGGGAGGTGGTAGAATCCCCTTCCTTAGAAGTTTTTAAGATCAGGCTTGACAAAGCCCTGGCTGGGATGATGTAGTTGGGGATTGGTCCTGCTCTGGGCAGGGGGTTGGACTAGATGACCTCAAGAGGTCCCTTCCAACTCTGATATTCTATGATTCTATGATCTCAGAGGCTCTCTCTAGCCACCACTTGTTTTTGATGTCATCGTAGCCTCCTTTGGAATTCGGCTTTGAGCAGGTGATAGGTTTCATGTTTTTGTTTATTAGAGGAATCATTTTTCCAGCTACAGAATGCATTTATTTTCTGTTGAATTAATGCTAGGATTTCCTTATTGTTTTCGTCAAGCCAGTCTGGGTACAGATGAATGGAATATCCTATGGTTTCAGCACATGCACTGTGAATGTTATTTTTAAATTGATCCCAGTGCTCTTAAATGTCAAATGATGTTATCAGGCAAGTTAGAGAGTTTCCTCAGACAGGTGTTGCTGGAAAGTCTCACAGCAGGCTTGGTCTTGAAGTGCTTTGATGTTGTACCACTTTCGCTTAAGTCTTTGGGTGTTTGCGGTGTGGTGAGCAAGCTAAAGGTACATGGATTAGCAAACTCAAATTGATGGTCTGTCCAACAATGATTTGCACCTCTCATGGCTCGTCAGTGTAACCTCAGGCTCTGACTGTATCATTGTCAAGGAGGCGCCAGAGTTTGGACCGAGGATGTTTCCAGGTGGTCTTAAATTTCTTGCTCTGCCAAAAGATGGTATTTGTGATGAGCAGGTCATGCTCCACACATTTGCTGGGGAGGAGAATACCATTGGTGTTTACATTTCCCAACACTTCTTTGCTATTGTGCCACTCCAGAGTTAGCAGTCCTGTCCAATTCTGCCATTGAAATCTTCCAGGAGGATGAGTTTATCTGCCTTAGGTGTGGCTGTGAGGACTGCATCGAGAGTGCTATAAAACTGCTCCTTGTTGTCTTCCCCATCGAGTGTTGGGGTGTATGCACTGATGACCGTAGCATATTGATTGTTGCAGAGCTTGAGCCGAAGAGTCATGAGACACTCACTGATCCCCACAGGAAGTTCCAAAAGCTGACTAGTAATCTTATTTTTGATGGCAAAGTCAATCCCGTGAATGCGTCTCTCTTCAGGTGGTTTTCCTTTCCAAAAGAAGGTGTAGCCACCTCCATCCTCTTTTAATTGACCCTCATCAGCCTGGCGGGTCTCACTAAGAGCTGCAATGTCAATGTTGAGTCTTGCCAGCTCTCTGGCAATTATGGTAGTTTTTCTTTCTGCGCATTCATTGTGCTGAGAGTCCATAAGGGTGCGGACATTCCAGGTGGCGAATTTCATTGTCTTGTATCTCTTGTTTCGGCCACGGAGTTGAGCGATTCCACTGGATGCGACCATCCAGTTGTAAGAGTATGAGACAGCCTATGTTTAGGGCACCTTTTTTAGCCCCCTCCCCATTTGGGGTGAGCAGAGAGGATCCTGAAAAGACCTGCTCAGTCACAGCCACTGCTACCGAAATGCACTTCTGTCTCATCCAAACAGAAGATGACCATTACATGGCTGCCGCCTGTGTGCAGATTTGTGACTGAAGACTCCCAGAGATCACTGCTCCTGTCTTCACCACCACAGGGCTTTGGGCAGGTGTGAGCCCTTTGGCAGAAGCCTGCATGTGAAATCTTTTAGCATGGGGAAACTGATGTGCAGGCAGTAACCACACAAAACTTGACAGAAGGAAAACCCTGACTCAGTGGCAAGAGGATCCAAGACAACCAGGGACCTCCCTCCTGCTGCAGCCCTCATCCGTCTACACAGCCACAGAGTACTAGAAGGTCCTCTTATATGCCTGATCCATCACTGGAGTCCTGTGAAGTTTGGACCACAGTTAGTCAGGAGCCTCACCTCAGATCTGCTTGCCAAGGGTGACCCTACCAGGAATATGAAAGGTCCGGACAACACAGCACTGTGGTTCTTTAGCCCACACAAGCCTCTCCACCAAGAGAAGGTTGCAGTCCATCAGAGAGGGCTTTGAATTACAGTCTTTTCAAAATTACAGGTGATTGCAAATCAAAATCTTTGATCAGAACACCAAACAAGTGTTTTGGGGGTGATAAAAATTTGAATGCCAGCTATGGATCTGAAATGTACAAATGGCCCCTACCCTTATAATGGGCTCAGCCAAAACCCCAGTGAGGCACCCTAGCCCAAATTTTGGAGTGTTTGAAATCTAGATTCAAATTTTGTGGCTTGGACCCATCTCCCTGCTCTTTTCTCTGACCCAGTGTACTACACATACCTAAGCCCTATATACACATGACAAGGAGTTCTGAAAATAATGTGTGTCCCCTTTGCATTTGCAAGTAGGAGTGCATATTCTGTTAGTAATGGAATGTCTGCTGGACTCAGTCATATTAAACAGGAACATTTGCTGGGTGGGAGTCAGACAAGTGGTTCAGTGCTGGAACAGTTAAACTATTTTGAGTTCTTTGGTGCTCTGTCCAAGTCTCCAAACTCACCAGCTGCTAATCTCTTCTCAGTCAACAGCTCCCCAAAGAGGTAATCGATAGTCAGAGAGATAGAGGGTCACTCCTGTCACCAGTCAGAAAGTGCCACTTCCTGGTATCCAACTCTCCAAAGGTCATGAGGGTCACATTCATGCCTTTGGAGAATACACTCATCAGTATCTCCGGGGTCTTGGTGAAGACAGCTCATGTTGAGGCTCTACCATGAAAAAGCTCCTGGAAACGAAGCACAGACAGGGAAAGAGCAAGGGGCAATTGTTTGTGGGACCATTCATAACAGTGATGGGAACTTTGCTGTCACAGCTTTGGGAACCCATGTCTCAGTTAATGAGAACCTGTGGGAAAAGAAAAAAATAATTATAATGCAATGAGCCAAGTCCTCGAGCATGAGAGTGGAGTTCTAATGTCAGGCTTAAACTCTGGCTCCCCAAAGTGAGTGGGCTGGAAGTATTGTGAAGGTAAGAGTCAGCTTATTAAAAAGAGCACAACATTGACCCACTGTGTGACAATCTTTTCTGGATCTAAGCTAGTGAAACAGGAAAAGAATTTTGAAAGTGAAGGCCCCTTTACGAGACACATGGAATATTGGATCCTGAAGGTACAACAGCAGTTGAGAGTGGCAGCAAGGTGAAGAACTGCAGAATAGGGGAATGGTCACAGTCTGCCAGAAACAAAGATTTATTGTCCCACCGACCCGCAGGGGGCTGCCAGAGATGGAGGAATTTATTTTTCCCTTCCTCCAGAGACCAGGTGGCAAAGATCATTCCTGCACCCAAATATCCCAATTCAGCACTGTTGGTGACACAGACGGATCTTGTGTTCCTCTGGCTCCCTGTCCAGTGTAATAGAGTGCCACCGCAACAGGCCCAGCAGACAACTGGCATGATGAAAGAGAGCAGGCTGGAGAAAAGAGAAGGCAAAGCATTGACTCCACCATACCTAAAGGCAACCCCTTCCCCAGCAGAGGTTACAGACATGGCCTTTCCTGACCAGGAAGTAATAACTAGACGGAGATCCAGCCCCCCTTGTGGGCTCAGACGGATCCTCCCAATTACACCAACATTCATCCTGAAGACACTGGAGGCTGGAAAAAAAGGAAAAAGCTGATATTGCCAACAGGTATGGTTGCAACCTGAGGCATTACCAGGAGATGCATATACAGCTCTGAAAACAGAGGAGAAACATATCAGCCCCGGGTCAATTAAACATCCTTTACTTAGGAACCTTTCAGAACCTCTTCACCTTGAAGAATGCAACAGCCAGAACAGGTGAGAGTCTCTCAGGCTTTAGTGAACGCCAGAGAATTTATATATGTTAATATTATTTCAGAGACTTTTCCTTGAATTTTTCTCTACTTTCAGCAAGTGTGGCAAGGCATTTCCTCCATCTCGCCACACTTAGCACTTCCCCCTCTAGCAGTGGTAGGGCCTGGGGTAAATCAGCCCCACTTGGACAGTGTTTGTCTTCCCCTCTGTGCTTACTTGTCCATATTTTCAGGGTAGACCTCCACCAAACAAAGAGGAAACAAACACACAAACAGAAAAACAAAGGGGGATACTTTTCCCTGCCCCCTTGCTGGGGTGGGGTGTTGTCCTGTTTGCCCTGGGGTGTCGGTCCTTCCCCTAGCAGATACTCAGCTTTGGCTGTTTCCTCTATGGGATGGAGAGCTGCCTCTCACCCTGGAGAAGCCTACAGTATTTCCCTGTTGCCACAAGCCTCGCAGCAGCTTGTCTCTCTCCCCAGAGGAGGGGGTTTTAAAAGGTCTCAGGCATTCCTTCATTGGATTCAGGGGTCCCCAACTGACCTGAGCTATCCCCTTCTCAGCTTGTAGGAAAAAGGGCGTTTATCATCCTAGAGCTAATATGCAACCCTTTCACTACCCTCTTGCAACCTCCTCATCAACCTTCTCCTAGCGATGGCTAAAGTGGCCATCTATAACACCAGGGAGAGGAGGTTGGCTGATTGGCCGGGGGGGGCCTGCAACTGTGGGGCATGTTTTCGTTCTTTCATCTGTTCACGCATTCACGCAGAGTTCCTCTGGGCGGTGTTCCCTGGCTCCCTGGATGCTTTTAGGAGCAGTGGGCACTGTCTGGGGTTCTCTGCTCAGTGTCGCCTTCAGATTCCCTACTTTTGACCCTTTGACCTTCACATGTGCCCTTGTTTTTTCTTCTGTTGTCCCCCATTGAGTCCCGGGCTCAGTGGGCCCTCGCATTAGGCTGGGGGAGGGGCCTTTAGCCGTGGGTGGGCTGGTGCCTACCCACTTCCCAGAACCCAACAGGACAACCCTCTTGCAGCCATCCAGCCTGACTTTGTCACACAAGGAAGTTAGAAATCATCAGTGTGTTTGATGACCCTCAGTCTGCACCCAAGACAGCCATGTAACTTACACATATATTATTGTGGCTATGTCACCACAGCAAAAATTATGTGTTTTTAAATCAAGATAGCTAACTCAAGATATCTTCACAAGGATTTTACATTGAGGAGCTAAGGCACAGGTAGTTGTTACCGCAATACCCTATATCTGGGGTTGACCTTGACTAGCTAAATAAAAGTAAAAACTACAGTGCCTTGTCTCCACTAGAATTTGACATCAGTATCACTAACTTGAGTTAGTTATCTCAATGTAAAAACACACCAATTTTTTCCAGTGAAGACAAAGATAATTTGTTATATTTTTTAAAATACTGGTATTCACCTACCTGAGATATTAGAATCAGTTTCCAGCTAAGAAATACTTTGCTTAATTTCTTTACCATATCTTCTCCTTTCGTGATGGTTGATTTCACAAAACAGCCTTGCTTGATCTAGCACCTCCCCGTTCTACAATCAAGACCATCATTTTATGGGTCAGGCTCTGTACCTGGAGACTGAATGTCTGTTTCGTATAAGTGGACATAAGTATTCTCCAAAAATCCATTTCCAAGGTTCACTCTATGTAGGAGTGGTTGCTGATTGCTTTGAAAACCTTCTGCCATTTTCACAAGCTATGAGTATTGCACAGAAAGGACACTCAATAACAACTCCCAGTAGAAAACTGTATTCAGTACACTTTTAAAAAAAAAATCTCTGCAGATCATGAACGATCTTGTCTTTTATTTTTTTAGATTTAGTTTGAAGGATTATGACAGTTCATTTAAAGATGCAACCAACAAACAAACTATTTCTATAATGCAGCAATTTATTTTTATTGTAACTCTATATTTTCTTTCTATAGAAATATAAAAGGCTGGAATAATACAAAGTAAATGAAATTCACTATATAAGAGCTAATTATTAATATATATTTATTATTAATCAGTAAACAGTAAATAAGTGTAATTGTGTGAGAGTTTATCTCCTCACGCACATAACAATTCAATCTAAAGTAGACAGATTTCAAAATACTTTTGCAAATTAGGGGATTTTTGATAAGTGAAACTTTCCATCACCAGATCTGTACTATTCTTATTAGTTATGAATTGTTTGTATTGTGGTACCCTGTACACGCCTTGGGAGCAGGATCCCCACTGTGCTAGGTGCTGTACAAGCAGAACCAAAAGGCGGTCCTTACCCCAAGGAGCTTACAATTTAAGTGCATAGCCATTTTTCAGACTACAAGGCTGTCACTACACTAAAATTTTCCATAATTGCTAAGAGTAGTGCCGCTCCAGCAGTGGTAGCAACTATGGGAGTAATACTACAGGTAAGATTCCAGGCAGCCACAGGCATTTTAAGCATAAAGTTATCTACTCAGCTCAGAGCAGGTCTCCACAACATAGTGCTTAAAATGCCAGTGGCCTTCAGCATCTTGTTACACTAGTAATACAACTGTTGCTCCCTCCAGTGGAGTTGGACAAGACCTAACGGACTTTACCAAAGTGATGCAATGAATTAGTAGCAAACACACTAACAGAATCCAGGACTATGTCTACACTGGAAAAAACTGGGACCCTTAAGCTTCCATGGATGGTAGCAACAGTGAAAACGGTAATGGTGCTGTCTTTTACGGTATTATCTACACTTAGGAATAGCAATGATTAAGCAACCAGTGGCCAGCAAGCAGTGTAGCTGCTCCAGTGCTGATTCCTAAGGCTATGTCTACACTACAGACCTTACAGTGGCACAGCTGTACCACTGCAGCTGCATTGCTGTAAGGTCTCCCATGTAGCCACTCTATGCCAATAGGGGAGAGAGCTCTCCTACCAGCATAATTAAACTACCCGCAATGAGTGGTGGTAGCTATGTCAACAGGAGAGCGTCTCCTGCTGACATAGCACTATCCACACTGGTGCTTTTGTTGGTGAAACTTCTGTCAGACAGGGGTGTGTTTTTTTCACACCCCTGGCCAACAAAAGTACAAGTGTAGACAAGGGAAAGGTAGGGTTTGCACCAATTGAACTAATCAGGGATTATTTTTGCCTGAAGCAAGATCCAGTAGCCAAATTTATTACTGAAAGATGCAACTCCTCTGACATCAATGGAGCGGCTCATGTTTACCCCAGAGCTGAATTTGGCCACAGATTCTTCTAGTACATTGTTGCTGATGTTGTGTGCCTGTAGCCCTGGAACTAATGGTAAAGTGAAAATGGACCTGCTTGTCTCAGACTCTTATTTGCCCTGGAATAAAAAGTCATGTTTGCAATGCATTTATGTTACAGCATTTAATAGGGGAAGCAGCAGTTCTATCTATGTTGTTTTGTTGGGACTCATTACAGATGCAGGTAAAGGAATGGAAGGGAACTACTGGGAATTGACTGCTAAATGGAAAGTGCCCTGTGGCCCCAAGTGTGATGCTTCACTATGAAAGGGCATATTGGGCCTCCTCAGAAACCAGTGGTGCTCAGCCTGAGCATTGTTTCCAGCCTGGAGAAGTGTCTTACCACTGACATGTGAGAAATCTAGAACTGAGCAGTTGTGGGAATGAGACATCTGATGATCACTCTGTGACTGGCGCTCTGGGCACGACAGAAAAGCCCAGACATGGCTCACTTCAAGAGGCACAGAATATTGGACAGCAAGTAATTTTTGAAATGTAAGCAAATAATCCCATGTTCTCTACAGACATGAAGAGGGCATCTTCAGAGAGGCAGAATCACAGGTAATGATAATTATCAGTATTTGTGCCACATCTGCAGCCATGGTGCCCACGCCAATTGGCTCTACTGCTCTCAGCATGCAGTGTGGCCTCACCACCTGACTCACTATATCTACCCTACAGTAGCTCAACTACAGTGCTGCAGCTGTAGTGTAGACACTGCTTTTCTAAGGTTTGTCCCCATCCAATACAGAGATAAAACCAAATGTGGCTTTGGCTGGACGTGGGATGCCACTTTGAAGACCACGCTGCCGTTCCCAGAAGTACCAGAGTCCAGTATTCTGGGGGCAGGGGAGTGGCCTCTATAATCCTACATGGACGGGGGGGGGGGGGTTCCTCACTGCAATTAATCTGCCTCTCCAAGAGGCGGTAGCTAGTTTGATGAAGGAATCCTTCTGATCTCAGGCTCCCAGGTCTACAAGATAAAAAAAGCTGCACTGCCTTTTTACAGCAAGCCTAATCCCATTTTGGAGGCATCGCCCACTGCCAACCACCAAGCCAAAAACAAGCCATATACTTCAATGACAAAGGCTATGTCTACACCTCCACCCCCACCCCTCCCAAAAGACAAATGTTTTGCCGCGGCAAGTGCCAGTGTGAATAGCAGGAGCGCTCTCCTGCCAAAAACGCGAATGCCGCTTGTTGGGGGTGGAAGTATGTTGTCAGCAAAAGAGCTGGCAAACACTGCCCGAATTTTAGGGACACGACTGTGTTGACACAGTCATGTTGCTAAAAGCTGGGTAGTGTAGACAAAGCTGAAAAGCAACCGGCTACTTAATTTAAATGAATGGGCAATTACATACACAAAGAAGCCAACATAGGCTTGCTAAAGCAGAAGCCCCACCCCCGGGAAAGCCCCAAAACAAGCAACAGGCTACTTAAAGAAATGAATAGGCAATTAAAGTAACAAGGAAGCCAATATAGGCTTTGCTGGGAGCAGCCTTGGCAAGGCACCAGGCCTCCGTAATCGCAGCACAACGCCCACATACGGAGCACACAGGTCGGGACCAGCCTTGCAGTACATCATTCCTGTGGTCTCCCCAGAGCCATGCACTGTCATCGTACCGCCTTGGGCAGGGCACTCAGGTCAGGACCGGGCCCCTGCTGGCTGCTTGGGGCTAGACCCAGGCACCATCGGGCCTGGGGGTGGCTTGGCAGAGTGTGCACACGAGGCCACTGGGTAGGGTGACCAGGTGTCCAGTTTTCAACCGGAACACCAGGTCGAAAAGGGACCCTCGTGGCTCCGGTCAGCACTGCTAACTGGGCTGTTAAAGATCTGGTCGGCAGTGCTGCGGATCTAAGGCAGGCTAGTCCCTACCTGTCCTGGCACTGGGCTGTGCCCTGAAAGCAACCAGCAGATCCAGCTCCTAGGCGGAGGCGCAGGGGGCAGACGACCACACAAGGCTCCGCGCACTGCCCCCTCCTCAAGCACTCCAGCCAATGGGAGCTGGGGGGGGGTTGGTCTCTGCAGGCAAGAACAGTACACAGTACCTCCTTCTCCCCCTACCCCCACCTACTAGCGCTGGACCTGCTGGCTGCTTCCAGGGCGCATGCAATGCAGTGTCAGGACAGGCAGGGAGCCTGCCTAAGCCCCACTCCACCGCTGACCGGGAACTGCCTGAGCTAAGCCTGTGCCCCAACCTGAGCCCCCCCAACCCAAAGCCCCCTCCTGCACCCCAAACTCCTCATCCCCAGCCCCACCGCAGAGCCAGCACCCATCCCACACCCCAACTCCCTGGCTCAACCCGCAGCCCCCTCCCACACTCCAAATCCCTCATGCCCCCAGCTCGGAGCCCCCACCTGCACCCCAATCCACTCATCCCCAGCCCCACCCCAGAGCCCGCACCCCCTCCTGCACCCCAACTCCCTGCCCCAGCCCAAAGCCCCCTCCCACACCCTGAACCCCTCATTTCTGGCCCCACCCCAGAGCCCGCACCGCCTGTTAGAGCCCTCACTCCCTCCTGCACCCCTAGGGTGACGAGATGTCCTGATTTTGGGGTCTTTTTCTTATATAGGCTCCTATTCCCCCCCACACACCCCATCCCGATTATTCACATTTTCTGTCTGGTCACCCTACATACCCCAAGCCCCTGCCCCAGCCCAGTGAAAATCAGTGAGGGTGGGAGAGAATGAGCCACCGAGGTAGGGGGGATGTAGTGAGTGGGGGATGGGGTCTTGGGGAAGGAGCAGGGTTAGGGTGTTGTTTTCTGCCATTAGAAAGTCAGCAACCCTACCACTGGGTGCCCAGGGCGGGCTGACATTGCGACCATGGGGCCTTCAGCGCCGGGTGGGGGGGGGGGAGAGGGGGTACCATCCCATGCGGGGCCGCTTGGGGCCGGCACTGGGTGCCTTGGGGCCCCGTTGATGCGGTAGCTCCTGGGGGTGGGGGGTCACTTGGGATGGGGCTCCGGACACCATCACCAGAGCCCTGGGGGCCCTCGGAGGGCCGGCCCGGTGGCATCTGCACTTCTCTCCCACGCAAGCCCCGCCGCGTTCCAACCTGAATCTCTCCCAGCAAATGGGCCGCAGGCAGCGGCCCTTCTCCATGACAATACAGGGGCGGGATCACTTCCGGGAGTGGGGCAGAAGCGAAAGTCAATCAGTGGAAGGGGATGTGGGCGGGACGGCACAGACGGAGGGACTAACTACCCCAAAGGCCGGGCGTTTTCTCGCCTCCTAGCAACCCGCGGCGGGAACTGCCAGGCAGACAGTGCTAGGTCAGCAAAAGAATTCTTAGTCAACCTTGCTACCACCTCTGGGGCAGGTGGATTAACTATAGGGACAGGCAAACCTTTCCTGTCACGGGAGTGAGTATCTACCCTGCAGCAGCATTTCTAGTGCAGCCATAGTTTGTACCCTAAGGAACTGACAATACACTGGGTACTCTCTTCTACTTGTAAATGTCTGAACCTCACCCCCAGAAGAAATTAAAGGCTCTATAAACACACTAGAACAGTGGTTTTCAAAATCTATAGTCCGTGGACACCTAGAACACCACAGTATGTCTGAGATTGCAGAAGGATGTACCACCATTTGAAAAAAAAAAAATTAGGGGTCTACAAAACAAAAAAATAGGATGAAAACCACTGCTCTAGAAGGCTATTTATTTTGTATCTCCCTCTCTGAGTAGCATTGGAATTGTCCATTATCATTTCCTTTTCTTCATGAAATGCTATACAGCTTAAAGAATTAATTACAAAAACAGAATCCATTAATGAAAAATCAGATGCACAGTGTGTTACTAAAGGGCTGATGGGTCTGAGGTGGGACTCCCAGTAATGTGTGAGAGTCCCTGCACATACTTTGGGGGCTCAACGTGCTTATGTCTGCGGTAATCTCACCAGGAGGGAGAGTGTGGCCTATGGAGAACAAATCCCTTGTATATTTCAAGGCTCCTGCTGTATTAAAGGCCTTTGTTGTGTTACCTCATCTATTGCCATCACAAAGAGCTGCTGGTCACTCACAGAGTCATTTCACTGCCTCCAGCACTCCTAGGGAGTGTGTGGCACTGTAGTCAGGAGGCAGATCACTTTTCAGTGACAGGGAATGGAAGTGACTAGGTATCAATTCTCCAGGACAACCAACAACTCTAAGGAAAGGTAAAACCAGCAAATGTTGTAAGTGGGGTGGGTGGGTATAGCTTTAGCAACAAACCCGCAGGGGGTCCAATTGTCCAGTTCTGACTCCTGTGTTTAGCAGCTAAAATCCCCACTTAGATGGTTACCTAAAGCAGATATTTAAGGCATCTATGTTCTAGAAATTAATTCCCTTTATGAAACAGAGTGCAAGACAGCTCAGATGAATGTTGTGTGCGAGGATCAGGTGCTGAATAGAATTGTTAATATTTTAAAATTAAAGCTGTTCAATTGATTGATTTTTTTATTGTAATAATTATGCTGATAAAGTGAACTGGAGGATTGGGCCAAAAGAAATCTGATGAGGTTCAATAAGGATAAGTGCAGGGTCCTGCACTTAGGACGGAAGAACCCAATGCACAGCTACAGACTAGGGACCGAATGGCTAGGCAGCAGTTCTGCAGAAAAGGACCTAGGGGTGACAGTGGACGAGAAGCTGGATATGAGTCAGCAGTGTGCCCTTGTTGCCAAGAAGGCCAATGGCATTTTGGGATGTATAAGTAGGGGCATAGCGAGCAGATCGAGGGACGTGATCGTTCCCCTCTATTCGACATTAGTGAGGCCTCATCTGGAGTACTGTGTCCAGTTTTGGGCCCCACACTACAAGAAGGATGTGGATAAATTGGAGAGAGTCCAGCGAAGGGCAACAAAAATGATTCGGGGTCTGGAACACATGACTTATGAGGAGAGGCTGAGGGAGCTGGGATTGTTTAGCCTGCAGAAGAGAAGAATGAGGGGGGATTTGATAGCTGCTTTCAACTACCTGAAAGGGGGTTCCAAAGAGGATGGCTCTAGACTGTTCTCAATGGTAGCAGATGACAGAACGAGGAGTAATGGTCTCAAGTTGCAGTGGGGGAGGTTTAGATTGGATATTAGGAAAAACTTTTTCACTAAGAGGGTGGTGAAACACTGGAATGCGTTACCTAGGGAGGTGGTAGAATCTCCTTCCTTAGAGGTTTTTAAGGTCAGGCTTGACAAAGCCCTGGCTGGGATGATTTAACTGGGAATTGGTCCTGCTTCGAGCAGGGGGTTGGACTAGATGACCTTCTGGGGTCCCTTCCAACCCTGATATTCTATGATTCTATGATTCTATGAACTGAGCATCTCTGATGGTATCTTCTAGACTAAGCACTGAGTCCCATTGGGTAGATTGAAAGATTAACCTAAATCTATACAGAAGCCCCTGGAATCCCATAAGATTGGGTCCCTAATCCATGAACTATTGGAACTCCTTTACAAAACTTTTCTTAAATATTACATGACTATATTGTCTCATACTATAGAATTAGAATTTATAATCCCTATTCCATGATGAAAAGGAGTACTTGTGGCACCTTAGAGGCTAACAAATTTATGTGAGCATAAGCTTTCGTGAGCTACAGCTCCCTTCATTGGATGCATTCCTGTAGCTCATGAAAGCTTATGCTCAAATAAATTTGTTAGTCTCTAAGGTGCCACAAGTACTCCTGTTCTTTTTGCGAATACAGACTAACACAGCTGTTACCCTGAAAGTTGATAAAGTCAATTATCTAGCAAAACTTCCTCCAATGGGATCTCAGAGAGCTTTGCAAACAATAATCAGAAAAGACAGATGGTATGTACTTATATCATAAACAAGCCTAGAAATGTTGGGCCCAATCCGTGTGGAACTTCTGTTGACCCCAATGGGAGTTTGTGGGATCAGATCTTCTAGCTATTGCTTGTATATATAGTTCTCTTGTGTTTATCATCAGTGCCGTAGTTCTAATCTGAACTAGCATGGATGCACTGCATTGTCAGCACTTATACTGGCAGTATACCATTGCTTCTAGGGCTGTTGCTTAATCGCAGTTAATTCACACGATTAACTCAAAAAGTTAATCATAATTAACTGCACTGTTAAACAATAGAATACCAATTGAAGTTTATTAAATATTTTTGGATGTTTTTCTACATTTTCAAATATAATCGAATTCAACTGTAACACAGAATACAAACTGTACAGAGCTCACTTTATATTACTGATTACAAATATTTGCACTGTAAAAATGATAAAAGAAATGTCTGAGGGGAATTGAAAAATACTAAGTACTGTAGTGCAATCTCTATCATGAAAGGGCAACTTACAAATGTAGTTTTTTTGTTATATAACTGCACTCAAAAACAAAACAATGTAAAACTTTAGAGCCTACAAGTCCACTCAGTCTTACTGCTTGTTCAGCCAATAGAATATCAGGGTTGGAAGGGATCTCAGGAGGTCATCTAGTACAACCCCCTGCTCAAAGCAGGGCCAATCCCCAACTAAATTATCTCAGCCAGGGCTTTGTCAAGCCTGACCTTAAAAACCTCTAAGGAAGGAGATTCCACCACCTACCTAGGTAACCCATTCAATAGCTAAGAAAAACAATTTTGTTTACATTTACGGGAGATAATGCTGCCCACTTCTTAATTACAATGTCACCTGAAAGTGAGAACAGGCGTTCGCATGGCACTGTTGTAGCTGGAGTCACAAAATATTTACGTGCCAGATGTGCTAAAGATTCATATGCCCCTTCATGCTTCAGCCATCATTCCATGCTGATGACACTTGTTAAAATAATAATAAGTTAATTAAATTTGTGACTGAACTCCCTAGGGGAGAATAGTATGTCTCCTGCTCTGTTTTACCCGCATTCTGCCATATATTTCATGATATAGCAGTCTTGGATGATGACCAGCACATGTTGTTTGTTTTAAGAACACTTTCACTGCAAATTTGACAAAATGCAAAGAAGATACCAATGTGACATTTCTAAAGATAGCTACAGCCCTTGACCCAAGATTTAAGAATCTGAAGTGCCTTCCAAAATTTGAGTAGGATGAGGTGTGGAGCATGCTTTCAGAAGTCTCGAAAGAGCAACACTCTGATGTGGAAACTACAGAACCTGAACCACCAAAAAAGAAAATCAGCCTTCTGCTGGTGGCATCTGACTCAGATGATCAGCATGGATGCGTGTCTTCTAGAATGGTGGTTGAAGCATCAAGGGACATATGAATCTTTAGCGCATCTGGCATGTAAATATCTTGCAACACCGGCTACAACAGTGCCATGCAAATGCCTGTTCTCAATTTCAGATGACACTGTAAACAAGAAACAGGCAGCATTAACTTCGGCAAACGTAAATAAACTTGTTTGAGCAATTGGCTGAACAAGAAATAGGACTGATTGGTCTTATTTTTGAATGCAGGGGTTTTTGTACATAATTCTATATTTATAAGTTCAACTTTGATAATAAAGAGATTGCACTACAGTACTTGTATTAGGTGAATTGAAAATCATCATCTTGTTTTTTTACAGTGCAAATATTTGTAATAAAAACAAAGTGAGCACTATACACTTTGTATTCTGTGTTGTATCTGAAATCAATATATATTCATATTTCATATATATGAAAATGTGGAAAACATCCACAAATATTTAAATAGTCTTCTATTATTGTTAATCACATGATTCAATCACAATTTTTTTTTTTTAAATCGCTTGACAACCTTAATTGCTTCATTTACCAAGGGTTCCATGCTGTGTGTACACTGGAGAATAGACCACAGGGAACCATGCAGAAATCCTCATTTCCTCTCTTTGGACCTGATCCTATAAGGTACTGAGTGAGCTTCAACATCAGTGGGACTTGGGAGGCACTCAACACCTTGTGGGAGTTACTCAGCATCTCACGGGATCAGGCCCCTTCTCAGCAAACATTCATAGGGTGATATGCAAAGGGAAAGGCCTAAGCATATCATTTCTGCATTTTCCTCTGATTTCCCTGTTGTGTGTGTTTCTTTATGGGGTAATATATCTGGATGTTTTGTTTCCAGGGTTCTAGCTCATTTCAGCAACGTACTGCTAGTGCTGGACGAGATGCCAAACTTCCCTGAAGAGCTCCAAGGGGCAAAGAAAGGGATTCTGTATCTCACACAGTACAAAGTAAGGATCCAGACTCTAAATCTAAGTATTTAGATCATGCCAAACAACGTTGCATCTGAACACCTGGCACACTACAAAAGCCATAAGCCAGCCACACAAACAGGAAATTAGTAGGGGGTGTCACAAATGCTACATCACTGCTTTAGCAAACTGCATGGCAGCTGAAGGGAGGAGCCTGGATTGTCTGTCTGTGTTCACGTGGATAGATTGTTAATCTGCAGTTGCAGCAGCTATGTAAATTACTGCTTTAATAAAGAATCCAGTTTAGTTTAAAAAGGGCAAGTTTACATGAGAAAATTTTGCCAGCATGTTATTGAGGGATATGATAGTTTTTGCTAACATAACTACACAGGTAAGAGTCCTAGTTTAGACAATTATAGCAATACAAAAGTCATTATACTGGTATAGCTTTTGCCAGTTAAGGGAAACAGCATACACTATCCTGGTGTAAGTACTTCTATAATTGCATCTATACTAGGAGGGTTTTTCTGGTTTAACTGTACTGGTAAAACCCAGCTAGTATAAATCAGGCCTAATAAAACAACTCTTCCATATTATTACCCAACATGCAGTACATGAAACAACTTCTATAATTTTGCTTTCTGTGTGCTTTAAGTCTTCTGGAGGCAGCTGCCATTTTGCATTAATTTCAGATGCAGCCTGTTACAAAGGAGACATACATATCATCCTCTCTTCTGGAGACTTTCCTTTTTTTCCTTCTTGTTTTGTTGGTTTCCTTTCATGTTAAAAAAAGTCATTTCTACTGAATGTATGGTTGTTCTTTGTCAAGGCAACACACAACATACTGGTACACCCTAATGTCACTTTCCTTTCTGCCCATGTCTTAGAAAATATTATTTCTGGAGGGCAGGTATCATCATACACATGCTGTTGCAAAGTGATGGATTTTCCATTTTTTCCTGGCAATGATGAGATTGATGAATCTTAGAATATCAGGGTTGGAAGGGACCTCAGGAGGTCATCTAGTCCAACTAGTCCATCTAGCTCAAAGCAAGACCAATCCCCAACAAAATCATCCCAGCCAGGGCTTTGTCAAGCCTGACCTTAAAAACCTCAAAGGAAGGAGATTCCACCACCTCCCTAGGTAACGCATTCCAGTGTTTCACCACCCTCCTAGTGAAAAAGTTTTTCCTAATATCCAACCTAAACCTCCCCCACTGCAACTTGAGACCATTACTCCTTGTTCTTTCAATCCTGTAATCTCTCAGGGAAGGGGTTCAGTCGTAGTGGGCCAGCAGCTGAGAAATTTCCATTTCACACTTCCATGACTCTTGCTCGTTTCATGACCAATTCCATGTTTGACGGCGAGCTAACCTATTGTAGTAACTACTGTTGACAGGGAGAGAGGTGATCCCTGAGAAAGTAGGCAAAGCCCACTGATTGCCATGAAGATTAGTATGAAGCTCTAGAACTTGCAGAGGGATCCAGTTTAGTTAGTAGAGCAGTGCGGTTACAGATTTGCATTGGTCTCATCTTGCTTATCATCTCCAGCATTGGCACCTCCCTAGGTCTCTCCCTTCCCTTTCTGATCCCACTCCCCAAATAAGCAACAAAGCTCAAAGCAATACTGTTCCTGAACCAGTTCTTGTCTCTGTTTCCCTAGATGATATTCCAGCACAAGGACAAGGGCTCCACGACCATCCGCTTTCCACTTCAGCTCCTGGGGGACTGTGTGATAGGGGAGGAGCTGAACTCCAGACAGCAATATATCAAAGGGACTATTAGTATGTGTCATACCTTTTCATACCCAGGACCCTACTGCTGCCACACGTCATAGTGTCTCCTGTCACACTTATTCTGAATGAGGAGAAGCAGATGGATATTAGCAGATATTGCCTGTGTGGCTGTAGAGAGGCCCACATGTAGATGTATTGACCAGGAGAAGGCCATATCCCGCTATCATTTTGATGATCACTTTAAACAGGGCCTGGATTATTCAAAATATAAAACCAGGATTACATCAGATTTCCAAGAGATCTGTACCCAACACCCTTGCACTCAACAGAGGGCAATGGAGGCCCTTGCCTAGAAATAGGAAGCGAGGGCTGGAATAAAGCCCAGAATGTCCGTACCTCTTGGATTAACCAGCCACCATTTTGAGTTAGGATAGAAAATACCTTACGCACACATGCATACATCCCTCCAAAAGAAAAAAAAAAACAACAACAACAAAAAACCTTCAGAGGATATTTATCTCAGATGACTTTATTTGGCTAATTGGGTGTCACGGGTTTTCCCCATATTATCAGTTCCTCAGAGTTATTTAGGTGCCCAACTCCTATTGGTTTTTATGGGAGTAGGTGCCTAAATACCATTGAGAATCTGGGCCCAAGTAACTACTTACAGCAGGTGAATGGACTCAGGACTCCTGTGTTCTATCCCCAACTCTTGCTTTGAGATCTTGGGAGGAGAACTGCAAAGGATCATTGTGTGTAGCACTAAAAGGACAGACATTATATAAGAGTGACCACTCCCTTTCATCAGGTTCATTTGATGGCAGTGCAAGGATTGCCTCACAGGTGTAGTTTCTGTGTTGTATTCACGTCAGCATATTGACAGGGAAAGGAACCGTGGAAGGGAAGAGCATGGGAGTAGGAAAAATAACAGGGTTCAAAGAGATGAGGAAACAGGGACAATAGAGCAAACTGGAGAAAGATGAAATATCTCTGGTGAAGGAACATCAGCCGATTTGACTCATGAGCTTACTGTAATCTCATCCATTTAGCTTCCAGTCAAGGTGTTCTCACCTTCAAATTCATCTTCCTGTATGGAGCCACCGATTGCCTGAATATGATCAAAACCCTGTCTTCAGCAGGTGAGGCTCTTGATGGTTCTGCATAATGCCAAAAGTCTGGTGGTTGTTTTATACACACGTAGGAAGGCAAGGTCCCAGCTGCAAAGGGCTTACAATGTACCTACCAGATTCTGATACCTCTCCTTTCATTATACAGTACCTTACTGAAAGAGCAGTCCTACTGAAGCTAATAAAATTACTTGTGGAGCAGTGTGCTTCTAAATCAGAACAAGGTCACCACAACTGGGCCCTATAAGGGCAGTACAGACAAAAGGATGCAATATAAAAGCGAAATGATTGATCAGTGTGGATTGGTACAGGCCTTGTGTCTCTTATGCCCTACACAAACACAAGGAGTTGTGTTAATAGTTATGTTACCAATATAACAGCTATGGAGTCTGACTCTCAACACTATTAAGGGGCTTTAGAAAATCAGTGGGAGTTAGGTACCTTAAGATCTTTGAGGATCTGGGCTGAAGCGTCTCATGTATATTGATGACTTTATTCTCCCAGCACCATTAAAGTAGGGTATTATCATCCCAAGTGAATAACCCTCTCCTCTTCCTTCTTCATTCACAACTACAGATCCCATCCCACATGTGAAACAGCCAGGAAGAGACAACTGGGGATTGGTCCGGCTTTGAGCAGGGGGCTAGACTAGATGACCTCCTGAGGTCCCTTCCAACCCTGATATTCTATGAACTGTGTAACTAGCAAGCCATCAGCACTCACTCACTGTGCTCAGGGATATTGATTCAACCTAGTGCCTGAACCCAACTGCCATGCACACTCAGTTCTCCTCTCTTCATCTCCTTTCTAAGGGCTTGGTTACACTTGCAAGTTAGAGCGCATTAGAGCAGCCCCAGGTGCCCTAACTCCTGAGGTGTCCACACTGGCAAGGTACGTAGAGCGTCTGGACTCTACAGTTGGAGCGCTCCTGGTAATCCACCTCCATGAGAAGCATAAAGCTTGCTGCACCCTGGCTGAAATGCCCAGGCATCAGTGTGGACGAGGTGTTGCATTACTGCGCTTTGATTGGCCTCTGGAAACATCCCATAATCCCCTGAAGTCAAGTGGCCACTCTTCTCATTGTTTTGAAATTGGCTGCAGGCATGTGGCTATCCCCTTTCAAAGCTCTGTTTCTGACAGCCAGCATGCTTATCTGCTCCAGGACAAAGCAAACCATTAGTGTGGAATGCTGCTGTTGTGAGTGTGGGGGCGGTTGGAGGAGGGATCTGCTGCTGTCTGAACTTACAAGACAGCATGCTGACATACTCTCAACCCCCTAAAACAAACTGTCTTTCCCCCCACATACACACAACACACTCCCTGTCACACTCCACCCCCCATCTGAAAAGCACGTTGCAGCCACTTGCACACTGGGATAGCTACCACAATGCACTGCTCTTTGTGGTGTAGCAAGTGCTGCTAATGTAGCACTTGCAGCTGACAGTGTAAACACATGGCAGCATTTTCCCTGCTGCGGTCTCCGAAGGCTGGTTTAACTCCCAGCGCTCTACATCTGCAAGTGAAGCCAAGACCTCAGTTTCTTTTGCCTCTTGCAAAGGACTGAGGCAGGTGCTGCGGGAGGTGCTACTACCAATTTTTTCTGACCTTCGCAGTGTGGAGCTCTAAAGATTCCTCCCGTTTTGCTTCTCACACCTTGTGGTCAGACTTGTCATGGGTGATGTTCCTGTTCTGAACTGACCCAGCACCCTTTTACCCCATCCCCTAGTCTCAAAAGGTGCCTAACTCCCTAAGACATCTTGAAATTTCCCAGCCCTTATCTATATCTTATGCTCCATCTTTGGGTTTGTTTATGGTATGATGCAAGTTTCAGGAAACCCATTATCTTTCCATGGGTACAGATGGTAGGACTGGTCAGGCAGGTGATGAAGTTTCACAGAAGTTGTATAGAATATCTGTCAAGATAATTAACGCTCCAAGGGTTGACTGGCATGTTGGCTGGATTTCCCAAGCTCCTGCATGAAATTGGGCCCAAATCCACACACACATTTAGGCTCCTAGCTTCCACTGATTTCAGTAGAGAGACAAGGAGGGGGAGGGGTGACATTATACCTTTTGGACCAATTTCTGTTGGTGAAAGAGAGAAGCTTTTGAGCTTACACGGAGACCCTTCTCTTCTTCACAGAGCCAAGAGCTTTGTGTAAGCTTGAAAGCTTATTTCCTTCACCAGCAGAAGTTGGTCCAACAAAAGATATTACAGTAGAACCTCAGAGTTACGAACACCAGAGTTACAAACTGACCAGTCAACCACACACCTCATTTGGAACCAGAAGTACAGCACACAATAGGCAGCAGCAGAGACCAAAAAAACAACATGCAAATACCGTACAGTTTTAAATGTAAACTACTAAAAAAACAAAGGGAAAGCAGCATTTTTCTTCTGCATAGTAAAGCTTAAAAGCTGTATTAAGTCAATGTTCAGTTGTAAACTTTTGAAACAATGACCATAATGTTTTGTTCAGAGTTACAAACAACCTCCACTCCTGAGGTGTTCATAACTCTGAGGTTCTACTGTACCTCACCCATCTTGTCTCTCTAATATCCTGGGACCAAGATGGCCGCAACACCGATTTCAAGTGAAGTGAAGTGAAGTGATGAGCCTAAATACCTTTGGGGATCTGGTCCTTGGTATTCAGGATTCTGTAATTTACATGACAGTAATTACTACATAATAATGATCATACCTGCAGATGAGACAATTAGGAATTTGGCTAACAGCTGCTGAAACCCTTGGCTAAGCATCAAATATATGGATCTCTATCCCCAGATATCCAAGGGGTGTAAACACCCACAGAGGACGAACTAGTTAGCATGATAAAGTAAGGGCCAGAACTAGAGCAAACAGTGGAGTATAGCTAGTACTTATGAGATATTATAACATTCAGTCAGGTAAAATTTACATTCCCAGGAAAAACTTTCTGACCCTGAAGGATCAATTAGCCTGAGGAATAAGTCAGTCAGTCATCTCTTATGTACTTCCTTGTGGCAAGGAGTGGCTCTACAGTGCCATGCTAACAAAATGTCCCTCAAAGGGCTTCTTAAACAGACTCCACACAAGCTTTTCTTTGCCATTCACACCACCCCTTCTCAAGGGTCCCTGTTTATTCACAGAAATTGTGCCCCAAAATGAAACTCAACATCCCAAAACCCAGTCCATCAGTTTTACCCTCCCAGGCTTTTCCTACCTGTAGCCTTCGTGGGTAAACCCCAGGTCTTTCTGCTGGAACCTGTACACCCCTAGCCAGCTCCAATTCACGCTACTCCCAGTCCCAGGCCTTCCTACTGGTGACTTACCTGTTTACGGTAGGCCACTACCTGGCTGGAGTCTCAGGTTTCACCAGGTAGGGTCTTCCCTAAAGTAGCCTCTATTACTTCCTGCAGTTTCGCAAGCTTCCCCCTTCACTACAGCCACCTGCTGCTCATTCTAGGGAACTACCTGATCCAACCCAGGTGTACCTCTTCAGTAATCAGCGTTGATTAGCTCCAGGTCCTCCAGCCCTTAAGGGGCAAGTCACCCTGTTACAACTCACAACCGATGTGGTGAAAACTAGACTGGACATAATCCTAGTAACTGTATCAGCAGGCCACAATGCTGCACAAATCTGTAATCCTATCAGGATTGCTTACTGGAGAACACTGAGGGTATGTCTACACTACAGAGACTATACCAGCATAGCTACGTCACTGCAGCTATGCTGGCATAACCCTGTAAATGTAGATGCAGCCTATGTCAATGGAAAGAGGCATTCCATCAGTATAGGAACACGACCTCCATGGATAACAGTGGTCAGGGCTGTTATTTCTTCACGCCCCTAACCAATGCAGCTATGTCAACCTGATTTTTTAAGTGTAGACTGGGATTTTTTTCTAGAACTTTAGCTCCAGTCCTTAATACAAGGCTCCTCTTCCCAGCACTGATCTACACTCTGCGTTTTCCACCTCATATTCTCCTGCCTGACGCTGCTTTGGTGCAGATAGAATTCACCTGTGAAGTTTGTCAGTATGTTTAATTAAAAGTGTTTAATTTTTGCCTGGTTAGAATCTGGATTCCTTTGGTTCTAGTGTCTTCCCTATCACTGACTTCCCCTCTCTGTACCTTAGTTTAATTCATAGGAAAATAAGTCCCAAAGTGGTGGCCCCACACTCTGCCACCAGTTCTAAAGTAGCTGGATGTTTCTGCACACAGGCTCAGTGATGAAATAATTAACAATGTTGCCATTACTGTTATCATTAAGCTTCTGAGTCAATAACCTAGTAAGATGCCAGGGGCAAAGGTATGGTTTCAGGCTGCATGCAAACTCAGGGAGGCACTACTGAACTGGCTTCTGTTCAAAAGGTTGCCTTCAAAACTAGGATGTCTAGAAAATGTAATTACCTTTTAAGTGAAAATTTAAATTCTGCAAGAATCGGTTAGAGCAACTAGAGGAGTGTCGGTACAGCATCCTGGCTGAGTCCAACTCCTGCTCCAGTGGCTGGGGAGATTCACTGCCTTGGTATCATAGGTATTAGTGCCTCGTAAATCCTTCCAACAGCTAGATTTATACTTGCAAAGCTCTGTGAGACTCACAGATGAAAGGTACGAGACACATGCAAAGGATTTATTTTTACTAACATGATTTTCTTTCTGTTTGTTAAATATACAGATACATTAAGAGAGGATGCTAATCTCCAGGACTATCCAACGGCCTCCATCTATACTTACGCCCACCCATCAGCACCTCGAACTCCACGTAAGCACTGAAACGTTTTCACCCTGGTTACATGAAATGTCCTCCAGGCTTCCAGCTGGAGCCTGAGAGAGGAGAGAACCAAGGGCCCATCCAATGCTCACAGAAGTCATTCAAAATCTTTCCATTTACTTCAAAGGCTTTGGATCAGGCCTTCTATATCCAGGTTCTTTCATTCCTGGGTTACCCCACACAGTGCTCCACTAGCAGTATCCCTGCTGGTGTGAAGGGCTCAGCCTTTCTCAGATGAGAGAAGAGCTCAGTTACCTCCTTCATTCACGCCTGGGCTTCCCCATCCACCCTTTCCTGACATGAATCCTTAACTATCATAGGGTTAACTTCCTCCCTAGGCTGTGTTTGTGCCACTCCCGTAGCTCTCAGTGATCATCAGTCTGCCCTTAACATTTGTTAAAGTTGGCCCATGTTCTCTTCTGTTCTGTTCTGTGTAGGTTCTCATAGTGCACTCATCATTGTAGTATCTGAGCGCCTTCCAGTAGCACATTAAGCAACATGACTAAATCTGTTACATATCTGTTGTAATCAATGACTCATAATTAGGGCCCAGTCCTGCAAGATGCTGAGCACTCAATTCCCGTTGGAGTCTGTGGGAGTTGAGGGCACTCAGAGACTTACAGTACCCTCAGCACCTCTCAGGATTGGGACCTCAGAGCAGTAATAAAGTGCATAATTGGAGCCCCAGCACCAGAAGAGGAACTTCTATTCCATAGTCATTTGGTGAAACTGCCTTGGGGTAGCTCAGTTTTCCCTTCAGAGCTATTCCTTGGGATCAGCTAGATCTTCACCAAGGAACTCCTCTGAAGCCTGGAAATTAGTAAGGAATAGAAAATGAAGAATGTGAGAGAGAAAGAGTTCCATTTGGACTGTTCAGCTCAGGCACTCAAATGTTATGGCTCAGAGCAAGTAGCATGTCAGCACCAGACTGAAAGGGGGTGCTGGGCGGAGGCTTCAGCTAAGGTGGGATCTTTGTTCACACCTGAGATGCTGAAAGGTTTCTGTTCTCCCTCGGCAGGTTCGCTCAGCACACTTCCACATTGGCCACCCCCCTATCCTGGCCCACCAGAGTTACCTCCACCCTACTCCGAAGTGGAGTCAACAAGTCCAAGAGGTAAGTCAGCACAAGGGCACACAGGGTGTCACACAGCTGGAAGTCACCTCGCTGGCTCTCCTAGTTCCATTTCCCTAGGCTAGATAAGGCTCAGCTCCTCCCAGCGTGATCCACGACTGCAGGGTTGGCTCAAGCACCTCAGCAGCCTTCTTCACCCACCTGCCCCCACAAGCTGCAAGAACTAAGATTCAGGGGGAATCCTCCCTGCGACTTCTGCATCAAACTCCTCTCCTATGCTAGTGGGGGAGGTTCAGACCCATGGCATGGTTGATAATGTGACATGCGTGTTGTGGAAGGAGTTTGGGATGGATGTTCTCTGTACACAGGTACTCAGAGGACCTAGTTGAAGCCTTATCTAGAGCTTTGGCAAATGGGGAGCCCTCCCAGTTTCCCAGGGGATGCAGTTTATTACCACCACAGAAGTCTCAGTCAGCACAAAGCAACTCATACTCCACTCCACACGACAGCGTAGAGTTACCAATGCAGAGAGAATTTAGGCACTGCTCTGTGTAATGCTGAGCAAGCCACTAAGGCCCCAATCCTGCATGCACTTATTCATGTGCTAGTCCATTGAAGCCAATAGGCTCATTCACATACTTAAAGTGAAGCATATGTCTAAGTGTTCAAATGATGAGAGCCTTAGGGTACATCTACACTGCGGCTGAGTGGTGCGATTCTCAGCTCTGCTAGATGTATTGTTTCTTGACTTTAGCAAAGCTTTTGACACGGTCTCCCACAGTATTCTTGTCAGCAAGTTAAGGAAGTATGGGCTGGATGAATGCACTATAAGGTGGGTAGAAAGCTGGCTAGATTGTCGGGCTCAACGGGTAGTGATCAATGGCTCCATGTCTAGTTGGCAGCCGGTATCAAGTGGAGTGCCCCAAGGGTCGGTCCTGGGGCCGGTTTTATTCAATATCTTCATAAATGATCTGGAGGATGGTGTGGATTGCACTCTCAGCAAATTTGCAGATGATACTAAACTGGGAGGAGTGGTAGATACGCTGGAGGGGAGGGATAGGATACAGAAGGACCTAGACAAATTGGAGGATTGGGCCAAAAGAAATCTGATGAGGTTCAATAAGGATAAGTGCAGGGTCCTGCACTTAGGACAGAAGAACCCAATGCACAGCTACAGACTAGGGACCGAATGGCTAGGCAGCAGTTCTGCGGAAAAGGACCTAGGGGTGACAGTGGACGAGAAGCTGGATGTGAGTCAGCAGTGTGCCCTTGTTGCCAAGAAGGCCAATGGCATTTTGGGATGTATAAGTAGGGGCATAGCAAGCAGATCGAGGGACGTGATCGTTCCCCTCTATTCGACATTGGTGAGGCCTCATCTGGAGTACTGTGTCCAGTTTTGGGCCCCACACTACAAGAAGGATGTGGATAAATTGGAGAGAGTCCAGCGAAGGGCAACAAAAATGATTCGGGGTCTGGAACACATGAGTTATGAGGAGAGGCTGAGGGAGCTGGGATTGTTTAGCCTGCAGAAGAGAAGAATGAGGGGGGATTTGATAGCTGCTTTCAACTACCTGAAAGGGGGTTCCAAAGAGGATGGCTCTAGACTGTTCTCAATGGTAGCAGATGACAGAACGAGGAGTAATGGTCTCAAGTTGCAGTGGGGGAGGTTTAGATTGGATATTAGGAAAAACTTTTTCACTAAGAGGGTGGTGAAACACTGGAATGCGTTACCTAGGGAGGTGGTAGAATCTCCTTCCTTAGAGGTTTTTAAGGTCAGGCTTGACAAAGCCCTGGCTGGGATGATTTAACTGGGAATTGGTCCTGCTTCGAGCAGGGGGTTGGACTAGATGACCTTCTGGGGTCCCTTCCAACCCTGATATTCTATGATTCTATGATTCTATGAACATGTGCTAGCTTTGATCCAGTCAGTGAGCTAAAAATAGTGGTGTGGCCACAGCAGGACAGGCTGTAGCTCAGGCTGACCACCCAAGTGCACGCCTAGTATCTCAGAAGGGATTGTCCTCAGGCAGCTTACCTATGATGCCCCGTGCTAGCTCGATCAAAGTTAGCACATGTACATCTACCCAAATTGGGAATCGCGCCTCCCCTGTGTAGTGTACATGTACAGTGAATGACTAGCCAGAATTCCACATGCAGTGCCTGGGCAAGAGGACTACTTACATACTACTGAATTATACTTGAGGACAAGTGCACTTACTCAGGTGCTTAAAGCTAAGCACATGCATAGGTGTTTGCAGGACCTGGGCCTTAACGTCACTTTACCCATCTATCAAGAAGCGGGAGTCATTGGCTTGAATAATTGTAAAAGCCCTAATCTATTTGAGCGAAACATAATAATAACCTAACTCTTATTTAGCACTTTTCATCAGTAGCTCTCAATGATTTACAAAGGAGGCTACTGTGATGTGTTCCCCCCAGAGTGCCACCTGAAACTGTGGTACCACTGAGCCCCCGACCCAGTGGCCTGCCAAGCCCTCTCCCAGGCTCCAGCACACGTACAGATAGGGATACAGACACTGTGATCAGCTCTGCATAGGGAGGCTTCATCTAAGGAACTGTCCAGCTGCTCCAGTGCACACACCCCCTCTGCAGTGTAAACCCAAAGTTATACCGTCTTGTGCTGCTCAGAGATCTGTACAGAGTAAGCTCATGAAATTCACCCCCTCCCTCAGTGTGGAGAAGGGATATGCAACAGCTTTCTGCCCCAAGTTATGACTCCCACACACTGGTCTTAGACAAAGAAAAAATAAACTTATTAACTACAAAAGAGAGATTTTAAGTGATTATAAGGCAGTGGTGGGCAACCTGCGGCCCGCGGGCTGCACACAGCCCATCAGGGTAATCCGCTGGCAAGCCACAAGACAGTTTGTTTACATTGACCGTCCGCAGGCACAGCTGCCCGCAGCTCCCAGTGGCCATGGTTTGCCATTCCCGGCCAATGGGAGCTGCGCGAAGTGACACGGGCCACAGGGACATGCTGGCTGCTGCTTCCCACAACTCCCATTGCCCGGGAACGGCAAACCGCGGCCACTGGGAACTGCAGGCGGCCATGCCTGCAGACGCTCAGCGTAAACAAACTGTCTCATGGCCCTTCAGCAGATTACCCTGATGGGCTGCAGGTTGCACACCACTGTTATAAGGAATAGCAAACCAATCAAAGCAGATTATCTAGCAAACAAACAAAACATGCAAACTAACCTTAATATACTAAAGAGATTGGATATGAGTAGCAAATTCTCACTCTAAATGATGACTGAAGCAGGCCAGCTGCACTTGCTTACAGCTTAGAAACCTCAGGTGTTTCTTTCATAGGCTAAAAATCCCTCTAGCCTGGGTCCAGCACTTCCCCCCAGTTCAGTCTTTGTTCCTCAGGTGTTTCCAGGAGTCTCTTTGGGCAGGGAGTCAGCAAAGAACCATAATGACGTCACTCCCCTGCTTTAAATAGCTTTTGCATATGGCGGGAACCCTTTGTCTCAAAGCTTAGTTCCCATGCCAGTCAGTGGAAAAACACTGGTATTCCAATATAAAATCCAGTACCAGGTGACCTGGTCACATGACCCTGTAGTGTTACAGCAGCCATGAGTCAGAGGCTGCTTGCAGCATCCTCAGGAGGACATCCCCACCCCCAGTGAGAGAAAAACTTCTTCTAAGGCCTATTGTTTTCTCTAATGGCCCTTCCCAACCAGCCATCTAGACTGAGTACATTCTGCCTAGTGGGCGTTCCCCAAGTGTAAACACATTTGTAATACAGATATATGGTCAATATTCCTAACTTCAGATACAAAAATGATACATGCATACAAATAGGATAATCATATTCAGTAAATCATAACCTTTCCAATGATATCTCACATGACTTACCTTGCATAAAATGCATCATAATTATGCCATAATCATATCATAATATCATCACTGTGAAGAATATGGGGTTCAGTGTCACAACCACTATCATGAGCAAAACAGATATAATAAACATAGCAAGATCTACAGTAAAGTATATATATGTTAGAGAAATGCATTGAAAAAATGCTAACATATTTTTACATGTTAGCTCACTGTAACCAGTGACATCTCCAGTTTCCCTGATAAGTTATTTTCCAGCCACAGAAAATGTTTTGTGAGATTTTCTATACTTGTTTAACTCAGACGTTAAAATATACTGAAACCACCATCCTCCTAGTCACTTTTCCCACTGATATTTAATACAGCCGAGCACTTTACTTATTTGTTACTAACCATATACACAGAAATGAGAGAGACATCTCGATAATATCACCAATGTTGAACCATCCTTTGTGTTTTGGGTGACCATTCGTGTGATATGACTTTGTGGAAGAGAGATTGGAGCAGGGTAGATGCCAAAATGTTGTGGGGGGAATCAGCCTATGAAGTTCTGATTAGCTGGTTCACATCCTTGAACTGTATCCCAAATTTTGAGCTATTGTTTACTAGTCTTTCATTAACTATGAATTCATTATTCTTATTCATTATTTATATTATAATAGCGCCCAGAGTGCCCAGTTGGATTCAGGGCCCCAGTGAGGTGGGTGCCATATGGACAAAGAAGAGATTTTTGAGAGCCAAGTTTGAGATGTCTTAGGCCCTAACGTAAAAGCCCAATAACAGTAAATAATATCAAAGGGATTTTTACAAAGGCTGGCAGGAAGGAACACTCTCGGTGAAATGCTGCCAATGACTCTAGAAAGTATAATTCTTCACTATGGGCAGCACAGTAGGAGGGATGCATGCCATTTCCTATATCTGTGTGCAGTGTAACTGTAGCCAAGTCAGTCCCAGGCTATATCTGGGGTCCATTCACATGGCTCAGCTCAGGGCATATGTACATGGCAGGCACGCCATGCTTGCAAATCAATCTCTCTTTGCCGTTCTTTTTCTTTCCCAGGAATTCAGGATGTTGTTTGGATGCAGAGTTCTGGTTCAGCCCACTAGAAAGGCTGGAGCAGGACACTGGCCCCTTACAGACCCCAGATGTGGGGCTGTTTGGCTCCTCTGCGGTGGGGCAGGCCCAGCTCCACTTTTCAAGATAGTATATAGGAGCAATTGTGAAGGATAATAATGTTGTCTCCACGTTTCTCTCATTTCTCAGAGAGCCAACAAGAGGGCTGCTGCCACTGCAGGGCCCTGAGAACCCAAGAACAGACAGACAGGCAGAACTGAGGAGTCAGCCCAGAAACGTATGGACATAAAACCTTTGTGTCCCTTGCTCTCTTCTTTCCCTCGACTCCCCCCAGCATGACAGTTCTGTGAGGGCAACGAAGCAAAATTCCACTGTCAAAGCCCGATTCAGTCCCTGACAAGCTGCTCTGTTACCCTGCATCTCATTGTGCTTCCTGCAGCAGTAAAAGCTCAGATTTTCTCCCCACACTTGTCTTTGTGATTGGTTTTTTCAACCCCAAACCATATCCAGAAAACTCAGCCAGCCAGCCACCATGATCTTGATGGGAGTGTAGCCCCACGTGCTTCACATGGAAATTTCAAACTGGCCTGTGGTTATCTAATATGATTGGAATGTATCTCCTGTTCCTATGAACACCTGTAGTCCATATCACTGAAAGTCATGTTAACAGAACCAGCTTCTAGCATGAAAGTGTAAAGAGGACAAGCATGTTGAGGAAGGCACTGTTATTTAACAAGTATAGCAGTAACTGGAAATTAGAAGACATGGGTTGTATTCCCTGCTTTGATATTAACTCATGATGTGACTAGGCATGTCACTCCCCCTCTCTGTTTAGCTGCTTGCCATAGTGTTTGATCCTGCTACCCATCACTGTAATATCTGAGTACCTGCCATGTAAAAATCAATAGCAATAGCAAAGTCTGTAGTGGTTTTCACTGAGTTTCTGTCTTTTTGAAATGAAAACTTCTTTGGGTAGGGTTTTTAGTTTTTCTTTATTTTTAAACATGCATTAGTTTACTTCTATTTTGGATTTTTTAAGTTGATTAGTTTCAGGGAGGGTTTTGGACAGAAGGGAGTGAGTCGATGCTGTCACATCACTCTTAGGGTGGTAGAGAGACCTTTTCAAAGAGGAAGGTTTTGCAGCATTTCCTAAAAATGGTCAGACTCTGCATTCACCTCTGGAAGTTTGTTCCATAGCCAGGCCCCCTTTACCAAGATTACTTCATCCTGAGCTTTGTGAGCTGCTATGTCCCAGAGGATCACAGCTGTTGTGTTGGTTATTGGATCAAAAGTGGGTCTTTAATGTAGCTACAGCTTGAACCATTAATTGCTTTGAAAATTAGGACAAAGGCCTTAAACTGGCATCAAAAACTGCCTGGCACGCAGTGGAAGGAAGGACTTGAGCCTGGGCTTATATCAACCTAATCTATAGAGAAGGGAATGAATCTGTGCCTCAGTTTCCCTATCTATAAAACAGGCTAATGGTAGCTCCAGCACTTTGAGAGCCTCAAAAGAAAACCACTATGTAAGTGCAAAGTATTACTACGGTTTTCCTCCTGGGGTTTGTGTAATAACATAGGCTTCCCAAAGTGGCTATGTTTGTGCAGAGTAGAGTCCCTGACTGTCAAACTCTGATGGTCCTGTTTGAACTTTGAACCCGAATTTACAGGCAGCATGGTTCAGCTGAGTAAGCCTAGAGTCAGTACCTGGTGTTTCAGCAATGTCACTCATGTGATCTTAGCTGATATAGGACTGGCCACTATGTTTTAACAGTGACTTTCTATATTATTTTTCTTTCCAGATTGCATGGAGCTGGGGCCATGCATCCCTGTGGACTATTAAATTAGAATTGATTCCTGGGCTCTGATGGATTTTCAGTCATTCTTCTCCATTCAACCAGGCAGGATGGGGGAACATGGGTATCAAGAAATGCCTTAGAGCTCACCATTTTGAAGGACACAATGTGTAGGAGGTGATCATAGTACTAGGTGTTATAATACTGGACTGGAAGACAGATCTGGTTTTAATCCCAGCTGTGCCTTGGACAAGTCACTATCTCTCTGTGCCTCAGTGTCCCCATCAATAAAATGAAGATAATGATAGTGACTGCAGAGGAGGATTGTAAGAATCAATGAATGTATGTAAATTGCATTGAGATTCTTAGATAGAAAGCCCTAGAGAAATGCCAAGTGTCATTATTTCAATTTTTAGTTGCTTATCAATGAACAGGTTTTGAGGGGAAGGGATGGTGGCATACAGTTGTGGGTGCTTCAAAACTCTGACACCCGGGCCATGCAATCAACAGAACCTCTTCTGTTATAAGAGGTACTTCACTACAGTACAGTGAACCCTCTAATAAATGACCACACCAGGAGCCAGCAAAATCAGTTGCCTTGAAGAGAAAGGACCAGATTCTCCAGTCTTCAAAGGTGACTTTGCACCATGTAAGTGGCACAAGGCAGCCAGAGCTGGCCAGTGGAGGATTATCCCTGAATGGAAGCAGCTGTGTCAGCTGTTACGCCCCAGCATCCCAGCACATGAGAACTGAGGGTATATGTAAGGGACAAGGTATGGTCAAGAGGCTCCACTATGCCCAGTCTTCTACGAGTGTAAATTCAGGCTGCCCCTGAATCAGAGAGATGGAACACAGGGTGTTTAAATAAAGATTGAACAAAATGATGCTAGAAACCTTAGGCATATCATTATGTGGTCCCTGTAGACAGGAAGTAGACAGCTGCATCTGAAGAAGTGGTGTTTTTTACCCACGAAAATTCATGTTCAAATAAATCTGTTAGTCTTTAAGTTGCCACTGGACTCCCAGTTAGAGGTTGTTCTTAGTGCAGGTTACATAATTTACTATGAATTATTCCTTAAATGCTGGTGGCAGATACCAGATTGAAAGCCCTGGAGAAGGAAATCCTCTATCCACCACGTAGGTACAGAAGAGGCAGTGACCATGCAGTCTTTCCCACTCTTCCACATTCTATGCCTGCCCTGGAGGGATCATCTCTCGGGGCAGAAGGGGCATTATTAACACACACATGGAGACTGTAGCTTTGTTTGTTTCAGAGCGAGGGAGGCCTACGATTATTCTGTAAGTGTTATTAGTTCAGCATCCTCAGTCTCTCTACAACTTAATGCCAGCTGTATGGGGGAGGTGGACACTGTCACCAGAAATGAGAGGCCTGAGATCACTAACTCATTTCTCAAGTGCCCGTCAGCCATTAATGACTTTTAGTCACTAACAAATCTTAGCCAAGTGGCAAATGCCAGGTGATCTTTGTCACTGCTGTAAAGGAACCCTCCCCTGGGGAAATCTCCTCAGGGATGAGTTCTCAGCGGTGCCCAAGACAATGCACTTGTTTGAAATCTGTGAGAGAACATATGGGAAGTTGACTGCTGATTGGCTGCTATGGGGAGGGAATGATTTATAATTGTTTAAATAGGATTGAAAACCTCTGTAATATTTTGCTGCTTTTCCTAATACCATTACAGCCCTCTCCATAGCAACCAGTTGAGACATCATAGACTTTGTTCCTGGCCTGAGAGGTTAGCTATGAGGACTAAAATTGTGATCTGGGGCAGGCAGGGCACAGCAGTGTGGATGGCTAAGCTAATGAAAAATATTAACAATGCTGGCCATACTGGAAGAAGTATGAAGTATCTAAGAAAGCAAGAATTAAATGAAGAGAGAAAAAAATCAACTCAATGACATGTACTTGGCAGAACAATTTAAAAGTTTAAATGTAAAGATCAGTGAAAACAAAGTGTATTGAACTTCACAGCTGTTAGTTAGGCTGGCCACCACAGCAATGCAGAACTTGATGGCCACAGCAGGGAGAGAACTCAGATTCTCCTGCTCCAAGATCGACTTTTGTCTGAGCTAAAGGAGACTCTCTATTACATGACAGCAGTACAGGGTCTATGATGCAGAGTGGACACTTCTCATTCCAGCCTCTAATGCCCTGGCCAGCTCATTGTGGTATTTTGTTCTATTTTTTTATTAGGATCAACTAATAATTTTTTTATTATTAATAAAAATACCTAGCTCTTATCTAGTGTTTTCATAAGTAGCTCTCAAAGTGCTTTACAAAGGATATTATCCATTTTGCAGATGGGAAAACTGAGGTATAGAGAGATGATGTGACTTGCCTAAGGTCGCCCATCAAGCCATTAGCAGAGTTGGGAATAGAATCCAGGCCTTGAGTCCCTGTCCATTTCTCTATCCACCAGGCCCAGCTGGCTCTCTCAGTTAAACAAACACTGATTTTGCCTGGGGGCAGACAGGTGGCTAATGCTTTATATTCCAAAGTGGGACCTGGTCCTGGTTTCTCATTGGGAAGGCTGCAATTAAGGCTGGTGTTAAGGTCAATATTGACTAACGCAGTGCCAGGATACTGTCATCAATCAAAACAGTAAATTATGTTTCTCATGAAAAAGAAACACAAAACAAATTCAGCTTTCTACAATACCTGATCCTCTCATAGAATTATATAATAACAGGCTTGGAAGGGATCTCAGGAGGTCATCTAGTCCAACCCCCTGCTCAAAGCAGGACCAATCCCCCACTAAATCATCCCAGCCAGGGCTTCGTCAAGCCTAACCTTAAAAACCTCTAAGGAAGGAGATTCCACCACCTCCCTAGCTAACCCATTCCAGTGCTTCACCACCCTCCTAGTGAAAAAGGTTTTCCTAATATCCAACCTAAACCTCCCCCACTGCAACTTGAGACCATTACTCCTTGTTCTGTCATCTGCTACCACTGAGAACAGTCTAGATCCATCCTCTTTGGAACCTCCTTTCAGGAAGTTGAAAGCAGCTATCAAATCTCCCCTCATTCTTCTCTTCTGCAGACTAAACAATTCCAGTTCCCTCAGCCTCTCCTCATAAGTCATGTGTTCCAGTCCCCTAATCATTTTTGTTGCCCTCCGCTGGACGCTTTCCAATTTTTCCACATCCTTCTTGTAGTGTGGGGCCCAAAACTGGACACACTACTCCAGATGAGGCCTCACCAATGTCGAATACAGGGGAATGATCACATCCCTCAATCTGCTGACAATGCCCCTACTTATACAGCCCAAAATGCTTTTAGCCTTCTTGGTAACAAGGGAACACTGTCGACTCATATCCAGCTTCTCATCCACTGTAACCCCTAGATCTTTTTTTGCAGAACTGTTGCCTAGCCATTCAGTCCCTAGTCTGTAGCAGTGCATGGGATTCTTCCGTCCTAAGTGCAGGACTGTGCACTTGTTCTTGTTGA